TGCCCATTTTTCCTTCATAATTGGATAGAACCATATTGTGGGGCTTGATGTCCCCTTCGCGTATTTCTAATCTTTTCAGCATGAAGTGGGGTATCAAATTGACTGCAGCACCCCCATCCACTAAAACCTTATTCACGCCATGGGCACCAACTTTTTCCCGAATAAATAGTGGCTTAAGATGGTTCTTCATAGCTGGTTCTGGACGTTCGAAGAACGCATTTTTCTCCTCGACAGCCCCATTGTCCATCACATAGTAGCACACAGGCCTATGCTTCATCAAATCTGTGGTATCTTCTTCCTCATATTCATCAATTTCAGTTTCCTGTCCAAATTCACAGGGAAGCACAGATACCACGTTGCAGTTTAGGTTGAACAAAGACTCCCCCTCCGATTCGAAGTTATCAGTTATCATATCTTCGTCTTCTTCTGGGCCTGGAGTGTATTCCTTTGGTTCATCCAGTTGTACTTTAGAGAAAAGCCTCCTATTTACTGGGGGTTTGTCTTCAGTTTAATTTTTTGGTGTGGGTTTATTGGTGCTAGATTCACCTTGGTTCTTTGTTGAGGTTGCCCCTTTATTTGCCACAGCTTCCCTCTCAGCCTTTCGAATCCTCTGTTGCCTTCGCCACTGGGATCTCGACATGGGGTTCCTCCCTTTGTAGTTCTCTAATCTTACCTCTTCCCTTTTTGCTATGTTGAATTACCTCCTGTATGTCATAGCATGGCGTGCATTTCGTTCGGTATTTCTCCATCTGTCTTTGCCTTTGTCGTTTCTGACTTGCAGCCATCTGTCGGTTGGCACTTCAGCAGGGAGTTTGAAAGTCACTCTTCGAGCAGCCTTGGGATGAGGACTATCAGGCCTTCATTGTTTGTGTCTGCTATCGAAACGTGGGCCCATCTGAACATTTTCTTGATGGTTCCAGCAAGGGGCGAAGGGAATCGTTTCGAAGGCTCTGGCCATGCTTTGATCATACACAGCAGAACACCTTGGGCATATCAAGCACTTGGTTGCCCCTTTGTAGCAGCGAAACACAAATTCCAGCAAACTTTCTCCAGCCTTAGGATAACACCTGAATAGCTGGTTATCCTGGCGCCAATTGTTGCCAGTTCGAGCCCTTTGTACCCTCTCGAAGTTCGCAGCGATTCTCTGATTGCAGAGGATGCTGCACCTAGGGCACAGTATCATGCCTGTATCTCCCTTGTGGCATGTCATGAGGTAATCCTTGAGACTAGCCTCTCCAGCATGATTATCCTCCATTTTATACTTCTTTTTTTCTAAGTATCTTTCTACCTCCTCCATCTCAGAGCGAGGCCTCTCCATATCCACCATGTTTACCTCAACATCTTCCCCCTTAGCTTCATCATCTCCCTATCCTGTGGGCTTTATATCTTCAATGTGGACTTTTGAACTCTCTGGGGCAGAATATTTGACCAAATAGTCAAATTTTCCACTGGGTTCCCCTAAAGTGTCCCATATTTCTTTCTGAGGGGAAGTTGGCTTCGTGATTTGGACTTTCTCCAATTCCAGCCTCAGGCCTTCAGTGACCTGTGTCAATTCTTGGTTTTGATTTTCCTGGCCTTCAGTAGCCTGGATTTCTTTTGCAACTGCTAAAGGTGCTGCTTCAATCGAAGTCTCTGGTAGCTTCTGGACGTCTTCAGTGACCTCCTTATCGGCTTCGACCATCACCCAGCTTTCATTTTCAGTACCTTTCTCTCCTATTGGGGCATCAATTTGGTCAGCTTCCACCATGTTAATCTCTCCAACGCATGCAGGCTCGGAGTAGTTGGTGTCTGCGACGTCCAAGGGATCTTCGTCCACTTTCATCTTTGCTTTATCAGCAAACTTCAGTCTGCCATCTTTGATTGCATTCTGAATTAGGTCCCTGAAAAGAAAACACTGTGAGGTTTTGTGGCCTAGGAAACTATGATATTTGCAAAATCCTCTCTTCTTTCTTTGATCTAAAGGAGGTATTTTGACATTTGATGGCACAATGAGTTGGCCATCTTTGACAAGTAAATTAAAAATCTCGTCACATTTAGTGACATCGAAGGTATAAACCTTCTTTGGGAATTTGTCACTTTTCTCATTTTCAACAATCTCTTTCCCTTTTGTGGGAACTAATAATTTGCAGGAGTAGGGTGGTGCCTGTTTTAATTCAGCGAGGTCGATTTCGACCTCTTCGAATTCGAATTCAGGATAATCTTCTGCTTCCTCAGTTCCAACATAGGAGATCCTTTCCTTCTTATTATTTTTAAAGACTCTGGCCTTTTCGGCCTTTAGCCTTTCGACCTGTCGAACCCTGTCGGCTAACTGAGTCATGTCCCTCAAATATTAGGTGTCTAGTTTCTTTTGAATAGAGTAATCCAAGCCACCAGCGGCCATTTCGACTAACTCATGTTCAGGCACCACTGTGTAACATCTGGATTTCAAAAGCCTAAATCTATTCAGATAATCATCTATGGGTTCAGTGAACTTTCTCTTGACACTGGCTAATTCCTTCAAGCTTATTTTTGACTGTCCCATGTAAAACTGTTCATGGAATAATCTCTCCAAAAGAGCCCAAGTATCAATGGACCCAGGAGGCAAAGTGGTGAACCATGTGAAGGCGTTTTTAGTCAGGGAACTTGGGAAATATTTGATCCTGAGGTCTTCATTATTGGCTATATCTCCCGCTTCGGTTAGATATCTGGCTATATGTTCGACTGTTGATTCATTTGTATCCCCAGCGAACTTTGTAAATTTAGGGACTTTATATCCCCTTGGTAAATCAGTATGCATTATGCAATCTAATATAGGAGAAGCATAATTTGGCCTTCTCATTCCTGTGTTGAGGCCATTCTGGGCCATGACTCTCTCTATCATGGTGGTTAAATTGTTCTCTGCCAAGATGTTATCGTTTCTAATTCTATGAACGACAACATCAACATCTTGATTTCGACCCACCATGACAACCCCCCTAGGTTGTTCTTCTCGAAACTCTGGGACTTCCAGCCTTTCGACCCTTGCCCCTGGTTCCATAATTTCTCTCTGTGGGCCTGGGATCATTGGGGCTTCTAGCCTTTGTGCCCTTGCCCCCAAGTTAATTTCTTCTCTAGGTGGTCTATAAGTTGGGTCGTTAGCAACTTGTTCCATAACAGGCATGTTTGCTCGAACCCCCGCCTGATTCTGCCTACGCCTCTCTAGGGGAGCAAAGAAATCTGCTATTCGACTCATGTTATCTGCGTTTTCTCTGTTTGTCACAGTCACATTTTGTACTATTGGGGCAAATATTTCCTGCATAGTTTGTGCTAATACCCCTATCATATTATGGTTACTGTCATCCATCAATTGCCTAAAAGCCAACTGGTTTTCTGTGGTTAAAATAGGCATTATGCTATAACCCACTGACCCTTGGTTATTTGTCATAAACTGATTCGCCCCAGACCCAGACCCAATTGTGGTGATGAATTCGATGTGGAATTGTGTAAACCTGCCATAAAAGATGTTGGCATTCCATAAGAAGAATTTCTGGTTCTATTACCATCGAAACCGGGTGGTCTAGTTAGTGGAGTGGCGAAATGGGTTTGTGTCCCTGATGGTGGAACAAATCCCCCGGGATAACCAATGGTTCCAGTATTTCCTAAGATCGAACTATTAGTTGATATGCCACTTACTCCATTAATGGCTATATTACTGGTAGAAGATGCAACAGACTGTGCATTCGAAGGGATCACATTAGACGTTCCCATCGAAGCGGACACATTAGCGCCTGTTGTATGTGGGGCATTCTGTTCCCCTTGTTGATTGTCAGAATTAGACATCTGTTCAAACGTTTCCTTCTGGATAAGGGTTGATTGCTGTTGGTTATTTTTGCCACTTCTTAGGTTCATAAAACAACAAACTTATCACTCAGAGGGTCTTTTTATAATGGTTATGTCTCAACAATCTTTATTTCTGTTCTAAAACTCCGTAACGTCCAACGATTGGTCCCACCGGGTGTGCCAATTTGTTTACAGTGATTTCTGGTAAACAACCGCTAGTCCTCCAAACTATCGAATAAACTTACTGACTGTTATTCAATTTCTCTTGGTAACTCACAGGATCGAACTGGTATTCATGGTTGGTATTTAGAATGTTGTGTAGGTGTTTAACTTATTTCGATTTCTCTCTTAAAGATCTAAAGGTATGATCAAAATGAATGTGCGCGAAACTAAATTGCATGAATAAAGGTCAATTGTAAAGACATGTAAAAACTGCATAAAAGACAGGTAAATGACTTCGAAACGTAAAACAAAACAGTTAATGTAAAAGATTCGAAATATGAAGAAAGCGTTAATGCAAGAAATCTGTAAAATGACTTTAAGTAAAAAAGGTGTTCGAAGGATAAAAACTTGAAGATAAAGGCATGGAATGTATAACCGTTTCTGAAATGTAAAGTATTTAAAATGGAAAGAAAGCATTTAAATGTAAGGCATTAGTGAAAAGATTTCGAATAAAAAGACTTTAGATGCAAAAACTTGTAAATGGTATTGATATAAAGATAAAGGAAAGTACTGGAAATGATAAAGAGTTTCATTAAATCATAAACATGTGGTGTTATCATACGTACATTGCTCTTGCATTCGTTTCCCTAGCCATGTGGTAATTGAATGTTTACTGAGTATTTTGTATAATAGAAATGACACACAAAATCCTAATGCTAAGACTTCTATTTATACTACTTCGACCATAACGGTCTTGCTATAAGATTCTGCCACGTTCAGAACATGCAGAGCAATGCCTCTCTTTTGCTTCCACGTGTCTTCGAATGCTCCAGCGCATATATTTCAAATTTTGAACATCCCGCTTGCATTTGATTTTCAAATGTTTTGGCATTTCTTCGCTTCGAACGCATTTCCTAGACACAGCCTTGTTATCATTTCG